GTGTATACTCATAAGGCCCAGGAAATGCAAAGCCTGGAAGACTGAGTGACTGGCCCACAGTTCTGACACGTTGTACATCCCAGTGACTTTGCTTGGTTAAAAAAATGTGTTTGAGGCAGAGGGGTTTGAACAGTTCCTCACTTTGCCTCAATTGCAATAATATAGCTAGACAAGGGCAAGACTTTATCTGTTAAACTCAACAACTTCAAATTCTCTTTAAATTTGGTATCTGATATCCTACAATATGTACTACACTAGTAAATTTTTCAGTACGGTTTGCAGCCTGAAGTTTGCCTTTTTCATGCGCTTTGGTCTCAGAACTGACTGCAGAAAAACTGTACCAAGAGCACAGAATACTAGCTTTCCTTCTGGTTTAGGTTTTTTTGTTCTTGGTGTTTTGTTTAGTTCTTTTGTGGTTGGTTTGGGTTTTTTAGCCTTTTATATTTAAAAGCTTTTCTGTTCTGTTGAAGGCCACCGCCTTCAAATAGAAGTAAATACATTTAGATGGGTGAATTCTTATTAGTGGTAGGAACGTACAATAGAAACACATCTTTGTTCAAGAGCCAAGCTACTGACATCTGATTTATCATTTTGACAGTTCAAACACAAGTCTGTAAAACAGAAATTCTATGCAAATACTGCAGCAGGAGAGTGCTGTATTATCTCAGTGTTGGACTGTCACTCTGGCTTGAAAAATGATTTGGCCTTTTTTGCCACACACTAGACACAGCTGTATAGTTCAATCCTGAATACAGAAGTTTTAATTTCTGAATACAGGGTCTTCAGTTAATGTGTATTGTAGGAAAAAGCATTTCTCAGTTACACAATATTCTTGTACCATTTTCATGAGTGTTTGAATGCTTCGTTCTGAAGTTGATTTTCAATAAGCATTGTTTCACTAGTACACTAAGTGGAGAAGGACTTTGAGTGATGTCTGAGCTCAGAGATGCTACAATAGAAATAAATATACAAATAAAATTTTTCATTAAATCTAGATTGCAGATAATCTGCATGCTTATAAGTTTTATCATTTGTATATGACTGCTTTTTCTGTTGGAGGAAGAGAAATTAATTTCTGAGACTTGCATAAATTGACAGATATGCAGTCACAGGTATTTGCAGAGATAACTTACACCAAAAATACAAAACAAGACAAACCACCTTCTGAAGAGTCTGGTTATTTGGTTTGATCCAGATCACTAGACAACTGGTTAGTTTATGTTTGGGACACTTCAGCCCTAACCACAGTTTTAATTTTAATTTAAAATCTTGATCCATTTGTTCATATTTTTGGGACTATTTGTACACTGTTAGTTACGATTCTATAAAGAGCTCAGGTCTCTACAGAGTTGTGCAGTTGTTAAAGTGACCCTTACCTGAGAACTAGCTGATACCTACAGGTCTTGCAAGGTGCTTCCATTGGGTTTTTTTGTTCAAACCAAAGATCTGTCCTCTGGTAATGCTCATATTGCTTCTTGGTAAGGAAAAAAAAAAAAAAAGTGAACTAGAATTAAAAGGCTGTCTGTGGCTAAAAAAAAACAAACCAAACCAAACCAAAGGCTACCAAAACACAATGCAGTTTGTCATTGGCTTACTTGTATGTAGAAATGTGTTATTCTCCTGAATTGTTTTGATTTTTTGTGATTAGCTAGAGACAGTTTGCCTTAATTGAGATTAGACCAGACTCTAAGTGTGAGCCAGAGAACAGCTTCAGGACATGGACTAGTGTTAGTTTAGGAATTGCTCAGTCTTTACAAGGCACAGCTTGACTCTCTGAAAGCGGTTTGCAGTGGGAGGGAGGGGTGTGAGTTCTTTTAATTCAGGGAAGAATCCCTGTTTATCTTTTGGACTTCTCATCAGTCTGACTACATGCTTTTTCTTCTGCAGATATTTTTAGCACATCAGATTAAAGGGTGGGAATAGGGCAACATAATGCTTTGAGCTTTAGGTGAATCTCAGGATGAGAGAGACATGAGGAAATTACATTAAGCCATCTGAAGGTTTTGGTAACTTTGGTTAAAATTTTACCTGTTAATGTCAGATCATCAGCATAGCTTTAGCTCTTTTAATTTGAAATACAGTTTTTCCATAGAATTACAGGAGGTGATGTGGATTTCAAGATATCTGTGATAGTTCTGTATCATCAAGTAAAATTAGAAAGTACATTTTACCCCAAAAGTTTACATTATCATAAATCTTGTTAAAAATCTAAAAGAGTACAGATTATTGCTGTAGGTGTTGTGGTTGTGGTTTGAGGGTTTTTTAAACACTTGTTTCCCTCAGTGGACTAATCCCATTCCTTTCTCTTTTACTCCTTTTTAGGGATTCAGAGCTTCTGTAAGGACTTACTAGAAGTTGCAGACATTTTGGAGAAAGCAACAGAAAGTGTTCCAAAAGAAGAAATTAAGGATGAAAATCCTCACTTGAAGAGTTTATATGAAGGTCTTGTTATGACAGAAGTACAGATTCAAAAAGTGTTTAAAAAACATGGCCTGCTCAGACTGAACCCTGTCGGAGCCAAGTTTGATCCCTATGAACACGAAGCGTTGTTCCATGCTCCCATGGAAGGGAAGGAGCCTGGCACTATTGCATTAGTATCCAAGATTGGCTATAAGTTGCATGGGCGTACACTGCGGCCTGCCTTGGTGGGTGTTGTGAAAGATGCTTAGCTGCTTAATCTGAGAATTTAAAATGCCATACAACTATTAAACAGCTGGATGGTTTTTCTCTTACACTATGCTCTTTTTGTTCCTCTGCCCCCTGAGAGGTTTAAATGAATTGGTTGAGGTCTCCCAGTGAAAATGAAGCAACTGATTAAATTCTTCTGCTTAGTGGCCTTCAACATCACTGGTCCGTAAGCTCTCTTCTTAAGTGTGAAATATAAGAGCTATTAAGTCCTCTAATGCTTTAGATTAGATAATATTTTTTACAACTATTGCTACTGAAGGTGCATTACACTGAAAGGAACAAAATGCTCACAACAGTGTTGCAGTCTCACATTTATCACTGTGTAGACTGAAAATGCAAATAGTGGTTCAAACACTTCTGTTTTGTAGAATCTACCATTGCAGAAGTGGGTGAAGTAGTACAACAACCCATTTGCTGCCAGCATCCATCAGCCTTTACACATTCATGTGATAAATGCCCTGTCTATTCCGAAATAATCTCTCAACAACTGAAATTGAAACCTTTGTGAATTCTGACCTGTAAATAAAAGGCAATGGAGAGTAGATGTATTTTGTAATTGTTCAACCCTTTTTGTTCTGTAGTAACGTTGACTCAAGAAAACCATCTAATACTTGTATGGCATTGAAGAACCAATAGAATTTATCCTATCTCTGGATTTTTAATTTAATATTGTATAAACTGGTTTAAATAATTTTTATAGTCTTGTAACTTCCAAGCTTTACAGTCAGTTTGTTATGCAAACTGTAGTTACAACCCTGCTGAAAGCCAGAATAGCCAAAGAAGCAAGTAGCTGAGAGTTTGGTGTATACTGTCTTTTAGAATTACATAACTAATTGCATGTAAGTGGCTCAAACAAAAATGTGAACACAGTTTCATACTCAGCTTGCATCTTAAATTGCAACAGAACTTTTCCCATACACAGCTCTTGCTATGTCTAACTCCACCTGCTGCTCCCAATCCTGCAGAATCAGGCTAAAATACAATACACCGTTAACTGAATGCTTTGTCCTACATTTGTTTGGTCACCTAGATAGGAGCGGATGGAACGTGGCAAATTACACAACTGACAAAGCATCTGTCCTCTTTTATCCCCAAAATCTCATACATTGAACACACAGGACAGAAACTTCAAACTCATGCATGTTTTTAGGACCTGGTGAACAGTAAGTACTTGCGAACTTCTCACCCTAGATTCTGGTTGTTTTAGATTAAGGAATTTCACCTTAAAGTCAAGTATTGGTTTTTTTTTTTTTGGTCCAGGTGCAGAGTTGCCAACAGCTTACTGAACACTAGACCTACTCACGGTGAGAAGTGATTACTTGTTCCTTAAGACTTTTTTCCCATTGCTAGTTTGCCTCATGGGAATCAGTTAAATAGGAACAACCTAAGTGCATACTACTGGTTGGGGGTTAGTCATGTTTAAGGATTCATTCTTTCTTTCTCAACTCTAAGAAAGAAAATCAATGTTTTGACTGGGCAGGGAGAAAAACTGCAGTGGTTTTTTAAACTAACCAAGTATAGGGATCAAAATACAAAGATTGAGTGTAAAACTATGGGGAAGAAAAAAAATAGAGGATTCTATGTACTTAAGTAGAATTTGGGAAGTAATTTACTTCCATCTGAGTTAGATCGCGCTGTAGCTATGTGAAGTAGGATTGAAGCAAGCGTTGTGTTGCACTTTGATTGGAACCCACACTCAGCTGACATGCCATGAACAGACCAGGACCTTTTAAGAACTCTCAGGTCTTGTTCTACCCCCTCTCAGCCCCTCGGGATCTAAACTAAATCTAATAATAATTTCGTAAATATAGAAGTTTTTCCAGTAGGGCAATTAAAGGGACAGCTTCTTCCCTAGCAGATTAAGATCTTGTTAATGAGTGCCCCGCACAAACTGTTTTTTTGGATTACATAAACACAAGTTACTGTTAAATGTTCAGCACAAACTAGTATCTTTAAAGCTGATAACCAAGTATCTTATTTAAGTGGTTCCTTTTCCTTGGCCTGCCCTTCCAGAGAGGCTTTCAGCATGGAGAGCTTCAGTCTCTGCTGAGAGCCCCAAGCCCTGTGCACGCTGCCATACCACAGTAGGAAGCACTGAGGAAATCAAAGAATGGGGGGGGGTGGTTCTGAAATTTAAACATAACAGCAGCCAACAAAGCTACCACTAGGTACCTCTGGTTTAGCTACTTCATAAAGACCACTTCTCCACCCATCATCATTTAGCTAAAATGCATCTCCCTTTGCTATTGCAAAGACTTAAGCCATTCTCTTCATTACACAAGCTGTGTTACCATTAAATCGATAATGAAAAGAAACTTCAATACAAGTTTATTTACCAATATACAATGCCAAAACCTAGTAAAATGCTGAGTGTGCACAACATCAGTTCGGTTTTACATGATTTCAGCACAGGCATTTGTGTGTCTGGCACAGCTACACCAGTACACTGTTCAAATGAGTGCAACATTCCCTTTAAGGAAGAAGCTGATGAGCTGAATATGCTCACCAGGTACCTTCCTTCACAGTATTTAATGTGTCATCACGTAAGAGCAAGTGAGGCAGCACATGCAAAAACATTTTGCAAGAAGAGATAGTAAACCAAAAGGCTAATGAAGTCCATTACAGTTGCAAAGAAATTTGATGCAGCCGCCGCACGAGAGAGTAAGAATTGGCAGAGTGCTTAATTTGTGTGATTTACAAGGCAGTTCATGGTCAAAGACTCATGCAAACCTTCTAATGCTGTTCTTAATGCTTGCTAGGACTGCAACGGAACGTAGGGCAGGAGGGTCTGTATCCAGAATACTCTGTAACAAGCCCTTCTGCACCAGGTAGTACACATGGAGTGGAGATTATCGCTCCCTTGTTACCTAATGAGCAAGTGTGACTGTAAAACATCACTGGGACTGGACTGAGCGAAGTAAGCATACAGCATTAAAACAGACTTATTGCTGCCTCTGTCAGTAGCAGAAGATCAGTATTTTGAACAGCTTACAGAATGTCACTTCTTCATAGGCTTACATCAACGCTGTTAGGACAGATACTATCATTAGTAATATCTTTAATTAGAAAAGTCAAGAGCATTAAGCATATAAAACACCTTTTCATTAGCAACATGAAGGCTAGGTTATTTGTACAGTACAGGAAGCACTTCCAGATCAACACAAGATACAAGTTGAAGAGCTCTTTGCCATGTGTTTTCTCAGCCCCTTCACCACAGAAGAGAAGCAGCGTAGCTCTAGTAAATTGCTGGATTAACATAACTGCATCTCAATTTAAAAACAAACAAAAAAAACAGCAGCTCATAACAAAGGAATGCTTAGACTAAATCAGTTCCATGTGAAAATATGGAACAGCAGCATCCTCTAGTGCAAGTCACCTTTAAAATTAAAAGCATAGCTGACACTGAGACATTGCTTCTAGGGAAGCCCTTTCCAAGGGACTAGTATTTGCTAAAGCAAACATTTACCACCTTGAATTTGCTTGCAAGTATAAAATAAATATTGATATCCATATTTCATACATTAAAAATACTTTATTTTACATTCATTTTGATGTTCAATAAGTTACGTCTAGCACCAAAGAAACATTTTGGAGGGGCTGAGGAATTAAACTACAAAGTTTAAATGCAGAATTCACTTCAACATTTAAATGAGTCCTTGGTGCCTAGATTTTTTTTTTAAGTTATTGTTCAGATGGGCTTTAGACTATTGCTTCAGTTGGACTTAGATGTGCCAAAACAGCGTAGAAGTATAAAAATCACAGATTTGCAAATAAAAACCAAAACGATTCGTTTAAACTCTCAGCTACATGCAGAGCTGAGGCTCCAGAACACTATCAATACTGGTATGTTATGGCAGTTAAGTAATAAGTTACAGCAAGAACCAAATTGTATAACTAGAAAGAAAGGCTGAGCTTCCTTTCCACAGTAGGACAGAGAAAATAACCAAGGGTTTATACCTTATGAACTTGTGCTGTTTGTACACGCACACAGGGTGGTTCTTAAAGCTACTCGGCACGTTGCAGTTAGTTCCAATGCTGCCAAGGAGAGACAGTCTTGTCTCAAGTATTCCACAACAAGCCACTTACAGGTAAGCCAAACAAAGCATTACATCTGTGAGAACATAGCCCTTACTTTTTTCTGAAGGGACATAACACCACAGGCTCAAAAGAAAAAGGCACTAGAGTGTTGGGTTTTTTCTTCCTTAGAAATGCTGGCTTTGTAACTGTACCCCTTTTATTCTAAACTCACCGGTAACACTATTTTGGTAATGCTGGCTACGTTAACTAAAACCCAGTTCTGATCAGTATACCTCTGCCAAGTTGCAGAATTGATACTGTTTTAAGTATCCTCACTGACTACAGCCCAAAGCCTCAAACCAGGATGGCGTGTCCAGTGCTTGCACTTGTTGTGAAGCCAGTCAAGTTCCACGTTTTGGCACACCTGCACTCCAGCAGCCCTGCCCAGCCGGCCTCGGGTCACAGCTTCCCGCCCCGGACATGACCAGCAGAGAGGCTTAGGCACAAGTAACACTGTGCAACCACCACACGGCAGCCACCACTTTTTATTCATTTGGTTAAATACCAGCACGGGAATTTAAGGATGAAATGAGCATAAAAATCCTTTTCTAGTCCTCCTTCAACATCTTCCCCTTATTCTTACTAAAACTGCTGTGGGTCTGACATTTCTGTCACCTGCTGGTGCCTGTCGCAAGCACCAGCTCAGAGCAGTCGTCAGAGTTGTGACGAGTTCCCTCTCGGGGTGCACTGTTCTCACCGAGGTGGGCTGCACTCCCCATTCTCCCGCCACATCAGTAATTTCAACTTCAACACATTTAGTCCGATACATTTCAAGGTTTGTGCAATTAGAACCCCGTAATGGCTTGGTTTACAGCTCCACACTTTAGGAGCACGTTAGCTGTGACTCTTGACCTAATCGGCACCGCTTTTCACTTTTGTTTTTAAAAACCAATCTCAGTGATCGCACTCCACTTGAGAATCTCACTCCCTTTCCCCGTCAGTCCCAATCAAATTCCGGAGGCAGCAGCTACACCTCTTCAGCCCATACAAGCTCAGAAGTTACAGAGACCAAAGCAGGAGGAGTAGGCTCCCCCAGCAAGAAGAAACAGTGATTTTGCTGCCTGAGGCTCCCAACCTCTGCATGACAACTCGCTGCCTGTTGTCCCAAACCCCATTTCTGGCCCACACCAGCCGCTCCACGGCAGCGCTGACCCTCCCTCCTGAACAGAGCACCACAGCTGCCAGGTACTCCTGCAACTTTGCTGCTAAGTAGTTAACAGTGAAGCTCCAGTGGAGTCTGTTTCAGCAAAAACTCACAGTCAAAGCTATGTCCGGACCAGCTGGGTGTCAAGGTAGCTCTTTGAGAACCCCTTCCACAGCACAAGCACCTGAAGGCATCTCACCTACCGCATTTCTTTCCTTCCACTCCCTGCCACGGCTCATCCCTGCTGTATTCTCAACAGAAACTCTCACCCTGCTGTCCCAGTGCCGCGGCTGTAGTTACTAAGGAGAATGTTCTGAAAGCTTAGCAACGGTTACAAAAACCCCTGCTCACCGTGCTCCTGCGCTCGGGACTTTTGTAAGCTTCGCTTTGCTGCCAGCATTAAGCCAAAACACACAGCAAAGGGAGAAGAAAGTTTCCAGCAAATGAAACTATCTCCCACCTTCAAAGAAAAGCAAGGATTACACTGATACTCATTTGTCCAACAGGAACGAGTAAAGTAACTACTCTGGGACCACTGGACTTGAGTAAGTTCACATGAAAGAAACCTGTTCTAATAATGTACCAAAAGCAGTGAAATCCAATGTCAAACTTTCACAATTAAGTATTTTCTATGATCCAAAGCAAAAGTCTATTTGAACCACGGATCATGAATACTGCGGGGGTTTACTTTTTTTTGTTTAAGTGACATAATTTTTGTATCTTTGGGGAGGGCAGGAAAAAATAACGGAGTCCTTGAGGCTGTAATGGGCCTCTGCTGTGTTTTTTCAAATCAGCCAAGTTTCATGAAGCATCCCTGGATATCCAACCACTTTCTGTTAGAAAGTTTAAAATCCTTTTCTTCAGTACCTTATCTAAGTAACTGGGAAGGCGACTCTTCGAAGGAATTCCTTGTCTTTTCTGGAGATGGTCTTTAATGATTATAGTTTTTACCGTCACATAACGTGCAGGACTCAAGTTTAGAGAGCTGCAGAGCACCTTTTCCCTGTCTGATAAGAGTTCAAAGCCAGGCAGGTTTTCAATGGCAGCAAATTCACCTTCTTTACCATCTTCCTTCCCTCTCTTAGAACTAGCTATGTTTTTGTTCTCCTTCCTCTTTTCCCGTTTATGCCTGGCCGCCTCGTATTCGGCCGACTCTTCCATTTTGGTGATTCCATTTCGGCGATACCGCTGCAGCTCCCGAATCTTTGCTCGGAGTATCCTCTCCTTGTGCATGTTCTCAAAGAAGTCTTCAAACTCCTTACAAGACATGAACTGGTAGAGAGGCCTCAGTTTCAGCCTCAACTCCTTCTCTTCTTTCGTGATCTTCCGTTTGGGAGCTTTCTCCTTGTCCTTTTTATCCTTCCCCAGAAAGGCTGGTACCAAGTTATAGTCTCGTGCAATGTTCTTACGCCGCTGCCTCTCCTTCAGTTTCCTTACGTACATGTCTACGTGAGCTCTTTTTAACTCTATTTCCACGTCATCGTCGTCATAGTTCACCGACAGGCCACTGATCAGAGTCTCGGCGTCTTGATCGTATTCGATCTCATAGTCGTCCCGCAGCGGCATGTATCCCAGCTGCTGCTGTTCAGCCACCGATATGTCCAGCGGTGGGAGCGGCGTGGTCAAGCTCGGCGAAAGCGGGCCGCCGCTGGGACACGTGTGATCCGTCACTCTGTTGGGAATAGTGTCGGGGATGCAGGCTTTTCCCAGGTTGCCATGGATGTACATGCTCACATAGTGCTCCATCACCTCCTGAGGCGTTCGGGACGCTCCCACGTGAGCAGCCATGTCCTCCTAAACAGAAAAGAAGGGGGAGTGATAAAACGATGCCCATTACAGCTCCAGCATCGCGCGCGCTCAGGTAAGAGCGTGACTTCTTCCTTCCCCGCTCCTCAAAAGCCAACTCGCAACACCTAAACCCTTCTGGCAACACTGAAGTTAGTCACGTTTCCAACAGATCTGCCCTTTTAGGTCCACGCAAGTATTTAGAAGCAGACAGAGTCACGTAGGCCGTGAAAACAGCACCAGAAACATCACTAAGGCAAGCTGCAGCAGATCCTCTAGGGACCGGAACGCCATCAAGACACGGGATCTGCGCGGGAATTCCTGAGCATCCGCCGCCCTCTCAGCGACAGCTTTCCGTCACCAGGAAGCTGCCCAAGCCCCAGGCCAGCACCGAGACCACCGCGTCGTCTGGATTTGGCTCACTTGCGTTGCTGAGGTACTTTTAGAGCAACGTGGAAATAAAGAAAGATAGCACATACAGTAAGAAATGTAGTATTTACTCTTTTTCTAGTTTAGAACTAAACCGAGCTTCAATGATCATAAACTTTAAGATGTTGAAAAAGCCTTTACGTTTAATGAAGCGAGTCATCATCAAGTCAGAATTAACGCACCAAAGGACGATGCTTTTTACCGCTACCTTTCAAAAGCGAGCCTGACGCCGCACTGAGGCAGAGAGCACGCAGCAAGCTCACGGCTGGGGCACCCCGCGGGAGAAGCAGCAGGACGGAGAGGGTGCAGGACGTGGGGGAAAGGCGCAGGCTGGAACCGCGGGCGGCGGCAGGTCCGAGAAGCCCGGAGCGCTCCCCGGCCGGCGGCTCTCCCGCGGGCCCCGCTCAGCGCCGCGCAAGTCCCCCGGGGAGCACCCGGCGCGGAGGCGGCCCCGCCCGCGGCCCCCCCGGCCGTCCTTACCCAGTTTCCGAAGCCGAACTGCTCGATGGCGTCCAGCAGCAGCTGCTCCTCCCGGCTGCTCCAGCCGCCCTCGGCCTCGGCGCCCCAGAGGGTGAAGCGGCCGCCGTCGACGAGCTGGTAGCCGTGCCATCGGCGGTGCGGGCCGATCTCGGCGCCCGCCGAGAAGCAGTCGGGGCAGAGCTCGATGTCGGCGCACTCGGTGCAGCGGAAGCGCAGGGAGCTCACCTCGGCTAGGCAGTACACGCAGTACTTCTTCCCCAGTTCCGCCATCTTACCCCGCCCGCCGGCCTGCCGCGCGCACGCGCCGGCACGCCCCCCGCGCCGGCCGCGCCAATGGCGGGGCGCCCGGTGGGCGGTGCCCCGCGCCCGACGGCCAATGAGCGTGGAGATCTTGGCCCTCCCCCTCGGGCCTCCAGCCAATGGGGCCGGCGCGCCCGGATGCGGGGGGTATTAAAACGAATGAACGGCTGGGATTGGCCGCTCGGGATCCGTCTTCCTTCCCGGCAGCCAATCGGGGAGGCGGCCCCGAGCGACCCGATCGCTGAGTGGCAACTCGAGGCGAGGGGGCGGGGCCGCGCCGGCCGGCGGAACCGAGTCCCGTTGCCCGGGCAACGGGGGAAGCGGGGAGCGGCAGGGCCATGGAGGCGGCGGCGGGAGCCCCGGAGCGCCGGGAACCGAGCCCCGAGGAGCCGGAGCCCTACGAGCCAAAGAAGCCGGGGCCGGAAGAGACGGAGCCGCCGCGGGTGTCGGAGCCGAGACCTGAAGAGCCGGAGGAACAGGAGCCCTGCGAGCCAAGGAAGCCGGGGCCGGAGGCGAGGGCGCCGCCGGGGCTCTCGGAGCCGCCGGAGCCGGAGGTCGCGGCGGGGCCCAGACCTGAAGAGCCGGAGCCCTGCGAGCCAAGCAAGCCGGGTCTGGAAGAGACGGAACCGCCGGGGCTCCCGGAGCCGGGGCCCGCGGCAGCAGCCGGCGGTGCCGGGGAGGAGGCGGCGGCGAGCGGCAGGGACGGTGCCGCGGACGAGGCGCCTCCCGCCGCCCGCGCCGAAGAGGCCGCGGGCCCCTCGGCACCGGCCACTGCCGGCGGAGCGGAGCGGAGGAGCGGCGAGGCGGTGGGCGAGGAGCCGGGCGTCGCGGAGGAGGAGAGCGAGGAGGAGCAGCGGGAGCGGGAGGCGCTGCTGGAGCAGCACCGCGGGCTGGCGGGCGAGCGGGAGCGGCTGCGGCAGGCCAGCGCCCGCCTGCAGATGCGGCTGGGCGAGCTGCTGCGGCTGCGGCAGGGCGAGCGGCGGCCGCGGGCCGAGGCGGCGGCGGGCGGGCCGCAGCGGTACGGCCAGAGCCTGCGGCGGCTGCGGGAGCTGCGGGAGGAGCGGGAGCGGGAGGCCGCCGCCTGCCAGCAGCAGGTGGAGGCCCGCCGGCGGGCCGGCGAGGAGCGGCAGGCCCGGGCCCGGGCGGAGTGGGCCGCCTTCCAGGCCCGCAAGAAGACGGTGGCCAGCGGCAGCCTCGGGCGGCGGCGGGGCGGCGCGGCGGTGGACCGCATCCAGGCCCGGGAGCAGGACAAGGAGCAGCGAGTGCGCCAGGTGAGGCCCCGGCCGTCCCTCTCCTCTCTCTTCTCCCGTCAAAAAATTTCCGGGAAGCCCAGCGCTTCCCTCCTCTTGCAGCCAGGGTAACATCCACCACTCGGTATCAAACAACAGGTAACATGCGCAGCTTGCCTCCCCTCGAAGCTTTAGCATTGCAATGACTTATTTTAAACTGAAGCACTTCTTCCCTAGCAAGGCAAGGACTAACAAAATGGAGCAGTGATTCTTTCATTTCTACTCCTCTAGGCCCGCGTGGAAAACATCAAGCTGAAGCATGAAATCCAAAACCTTGAAACCATCTTGAAGGCTGAGGGAGAAGGGGTAGAAGGTCAACACTTTGTGGACTTTGAGCACATGAAGAAAGAGAATCAGAAACACAGCAAAAGATTGATGACCTTAGTGATGAAATTCAGAAGCTCAAAAAGAAGGTATCGAACACGGTACATATTCTCAGCCAGTTTAGGGAAAAACTGCAGTTTGTGGAAGCTGAAAACCAAGTCAGGAAGGCTGAACTGATGAACATTGAGACCATCTTGTCACAGAAGAGAGTCATTCTGACTAAAACAAAACAGGCCAGAGACAAGCTGCGAAGGAGCAATATGAAACTGCAGCAGCAGTGTGGGTTGCTTGGAAATGAGATACTGCTTCGGGACTTAGAGGAAAAGGTGGATACTGTAGAGCTGCTAAGCCAGCGCTTGGAAGCACTGAAACGTCACCATGCTGGGCTGATCCTTAATTGCAGGAGAATTCAGAAAAAAATCAAGGAAGCCAATGCCTCTTTCCTTGCTGAGGATGGCCACAGAAAACAAAGCATGGAAAAGTAATAGACAAGAGTTTTCCACAGTCCTAATTCTTAACGTGCTTCTTTTTGGCAAGTCTTGGTGAATACATTACACATGTACTCCTCAAAAAGCATTTTCTAAGTGTCAGTATTACGCATTCAGTGAAGAGACTCCAGTAGTTACTAATTTTGAATGAAACCAGATACATGTGCCTGTCTTAAAAAATACCTCAAACATCTACACTTTTAGAAAACCATCTCACCATTCAGTCCTGCAAGACCATGGCAGTACTGTATAAGCAGAGAACTCCTCATACCCTAACTCAATCCTGATCCTGCCACCGTCTGTATGGATTTTATAATTTGGTATCGACTTGATCTCTACAATAAATACACCTGTCATAGGGCAGAGCACAGGGGGTGATTTTCACAGATAAGGCTGAGAACTGGAGTGAAGCTTATGACCCGAGAACAGACAATATACTACATAAACTAAATAATTCACCTACTCTCTAAATATACTTGGCTGCCAGGTTTGCCTTAGTGGTGCACAAGAAGAAAGGTTTATCATTTTAAGAATTATTTTTATAGTATAAATATATACATATTACCACTCAAAACCACAGTTTTGCATTTTTTTGGTCTTTCAGCTTTTACTGTTTTAGGGTGTACTCAGCCTTGTCTTCCTCATAGATGGTGTGTGAAGAGGTGGAATAGTGTAAGCCCATCACTGTTTTAGTCCAATCTGCACTGCTCGACTACAGTCTGTCAGAATTCCAGACAAAAAGACTGAAGAAGGGGAGGGAGCGACAAACATTTACACATCTGTGACTGTACAGCTCACAGAGCTTTAGTTACAGGAAGCTGCTTCCCTTTTCAAAATAGCATGTTCTTTAAACTCCTGTTTCCCCATGGCAAACTGTCTATGAGACTGATCTATATCCTGCAGCTCTTGCTGCTGCTAGTGTAGCATTATTTTTGATTTAAGGTGTGGGATGGATGCCAAGAATATAGAAACATCTTAGGACAGTAAAACGTTGGAGCTGTGACATGCTATGTTCTCATTACTGAAGGAACTGCAACTTTGGCAGGCTCCTTACAGGCCACCACTAGCTGATATGCCCAATTATCCAATCAGTCCTACTGAGTTCATTGTTAATTTCTATTTGTGGTATCATTACTTTGCTTAGACAGATGCACAATCTTTAGTCCCATTTTTGGCAGTCAGTTGGGTATTAAAGGCCCAGATTTAAGGGCTCAACAGCTGTGAATTTTGCAAGAAAGGCGGCACGTCCCAGTGGGAAGGAAGAAAAATGGAGTCTTTTGGTTTTCCACCACACGTTGGAATTACACCCCATGGGACCCGTATTGCTGAGCTGCTGGTTCTAGTTCCGAAATAAGTTGCATATGCTTTTAAGCAAAGTACACAAATCACTGAATGCACTTACAGGGGGATAAAAAGTAGATGAACTTACGTAAAGACATTTATAGGAATGGCTTACACCTTTCTCTTTTAAGTCATCTCTGAAGTAGGTTTTCTGAATTGCCAGGATATTTAAAAGACAAAACATAATTAAAGGGGTGACTACACTATTGAAGGCTTAAATCTTTTTCTTTTGTCACAGTGAAATGAGAGATCAGTAATCTCTTACTGCAATCATGCAATAGCAATTCAGTTATATTCTTCTAAGGCCCTCACAGTTCTGCAGAACTATTGCATACACAGTGGAACTGTGCAAGCTCTTGTTTCACTAATGACAGATTTAAATATGATACTCTCTATCTTCAGTAGCTCAAACACTGTACTCATGAAGAGACATTACACAACTAATATTCAAAAACCTTTCACAAAATACTAGTAGATCTACCTCTCTCTGTTGTTGCTGAATAGCAAAAGGAGACAACTGCCAACCACGTATCTTAAAAAAAGAAACACCAAACTCAGTACCTTTCATCTTCAGCCTTGTACTGACAGTGAGCTCTTCTGCTGAAAGAGTGGCTATTGCACAAGTCAAGCAACCTCCTCGTGTTCCACAAAACTGTCTTCAGAAATAATTAAGAATGATCAGCAGTCATCTCTCTAAGATAAGTTACTTTTACCTGTTTCGACTTCTTAAAAATTCCTGCCAGGAAAATTCTTACACTTGGTGCTTCTGATTTAAGATACATAAACCTTCCTTTAACTTGTAAAACCCTATCAAGCAACAAATGTAGACAGATAAAGGGAGGAGAAGCAGGGAAGGTAAATCTTGGATGCTTTTCGTTGCTGCATGCTTGGCATCTGGAGAATTCAAGAGTTTAGGGTGCCAGTGAGGTCGATGGTATATTTCCTGAACTGAGTATTTCTACTGAAACAAATACAAAGACATTTGCTTAAACTTCACGTGCTGTCTCCAGGACCACTTCTTTTTTTTTTTTTTTAGCACTGATTTCTTGAGACAATCCACTGCTACCCCAGACTTCCAGAGCACCCTGAGATTGAAGATCAAAGTTTCCTCAATTTTCTTCCAACAAATACAGGAAGACATTCTGTCAGGAAGCAGTGAAGACAAATGTCATTTTACTTCCTAATCTCATGTGCTGACACGCAGGGAAGTATTTCACTTCTCTTCGAACAGACTGGAATTAGTACTGAGAAAACAGGTAAGGAAAAGTAAATCTGTTTTTGAACCATTTTGTCCAACTCCTATAATATATACAACACAAAGCTCTATCAGTATCAAATTGGTATAGGCTTAAATAAAGCAATTGATTTTGCATTCTAGTCCAGCAAATCAACCAGTGAGATACTTCAGTACAAGTGAGAGATGTTTACTGGAGAAACTACAATCATGGCAGCCTACTCTTTGACTACATTCCCCACATAGTCTTGTTGCACTGGTGCTGTCTTCTCTCCCTTGCTTTTATTTATATTTTATTTGGTGCTTTAACCTCTTTTCAGCTAAGTAAACAACAAGAAGCATCTCCACTTTAATCTGAAATTAGGACTATGTAAATATGAAAACAACACTGCTGTAAATTGAGCACAAAAATGCCTTGTGATTATGAAACTTGCAATAGACCAGTTTTTCTTCTTTTAAAATACAGAAAGGATAAAGTATTCAGGCATTTGAGTTCCGTGCATCTCAAAGATGTATATACATCTATTTTTCGTATAAATTTATCAGACCTCAGACCTAGTCCAAAGAAAGGCCTATGAAATGGATTAAACCATAAGTATCAAATCTTCTAAATGCCACATGTAATATAACAGGTATTTTAACATGAGAACTGACAGCATCACCAGAAAATCTTCCACCTGCAATACTTAAATGTCCCAAAGTCCTGATTTTGGGCAGACAAAAATTGCTAAAGAAGCCTGTGAAGTAACAGACAGGTACTTGAATTTCTATTCTCTGAATTACACTGACAATAGGTGATTAAGATAACTTTACATGACTTTATTTAACAAAACCATATATTTACAGTTGAAAAAAGTTCCAGTTTGATACATATATCTAAACAAAACAAATCTGATAACTACATAAAACCAATTTAAATATGATGTACAGGGGATGTATCAACAGTTCTCTACACATCATTCTAGTTTTAAAACATTCAAAAATAAGCTGTTACAAGGTACCTTTTTATTTCAAACAAAATTCTTTACTAAATGAAATAACGTTAATGATTGATTGCTGATTGAATTTGCAAAACGGCTTTATAATAAAGTGCAGGTGATACAGAATTCCAAACCTGGTTGAAGTTTTCTGGTTTCTCTAGTCTGCTGCATGTACAGTGAGTGGTAGTTGCAGACTTCTAACGTATTGCAGCATTTTTATTTTTCCTTAAACCCATGAAGAAAAGAAAGTTGGCTTGATGGGGACACTTGCCCAATTAAAGAAAATCTCATGCATCTTGTTACATATACTCTCAAGCACCTGAACAAAAAAATTGTCAGAACTTTTTATGCAATCCCTGAATTTATTACAGAAATCTTCATTAATAGCTAATTAAGAGATTTGGTATGCTGCAAGAAACTTAAAAAGCTCAGTGGCAAGTAATTCTATGTCCTTACTACTCATCTCTGGTTTTAACCAAAATTCAAGCGTTACCTTCAAGTCAAGTTACTGAGAAGTTGAAACAATGGTATCTCTAGGCAGGTGATTTCTTTTTTCAAATGTATTTTGTTTGAAAACGAACTGTGCAAAGCTCCTTATTGCATTGCTTTTCTTCATTAAAGAACATACCTTATATACACAAAGAAATTATTTAGAAAATATATACATCTTCTAAGAACAGAAAGATCAAATCACAAAACAAAATAATTACATTTGCAAGTAACAAACAGTGCACAAGTGTTGCAGCAGGCCTTTTTCCCCACAACTATGCCCATTTTCACTGTTCCATTCAACATCTTACTGAGAAGAGAAAAAGGAGAACAGGCTGTCCATGGCTGAAAAGATACCTAGGAGCTAAAGAATGCATTTTAACCAGACAAATGAGCCATACTTGTAGACTTGGTTTAAAAGGAAATACAAATCTAGTTGCAATGAAGACTTAAATCACAAAGCCAGTTACAGTATCACCTAAAAAATGTATACTGTGAAAAAAGTTGTCTGTGTTTAATAAAACGTTTAAAAGCATAGTGCAAATGTTTCAGATGGTAGGCCTCTCATATCCTTCACGGAAAGGCATATTTGTTGTAGTAACAGAAGAAATAGTATTAAAAAACACTTACTGACCTTCCAGCCTTCTATTGCACTTCAAAGCAGTGTAGCATACAAGTACCGGTCACTGAAGGACCAAAACTATACAAATTCTGGGAGAATTAACATCTGTTTCATATCAACATCCTGATACCTATTTTCAGTAAGTGATGACCTAGAACAAGTCGTACGGAGGACTTAAGATGGCCAACAAAAAAACCACATCCATGATGTCAGGTACACAGAGTAGACAGGAAAAGAGGCCAATGAGGTATCAGACTTGCAAGCTGCATTTGCATCACACATCTTCCAGAGTGATTATGAGTCCTCACTTACCAGGGAATCTTGCTCTCGCTTTTTAATATTACAATCAAACTATCCCTTGCAGAAACAGTATTTGTACTAAAGGACTGCATTTTGATTACGTCCCATGGTCCTTTACATTATATGTTGAGTTGAGCAGTGTGCAACTATTATTCTCTTTTTTTTTTTTTTTATTCAGACAATGCCAAAATAATCAGCATAAAAGAGACTGAAGAGCATTGGGAAACCGCTGATCATATAGCTAGGATTTAATAACTCCTGTTTACAGTTAACACAAATATTGCTTCAGTTAGCTTCCCTTTTCAATGATGGTCATTATTTATAAAATAGGTTTTACACTACACACTATGCAATAAACATTCTTGTAAATCAGAGGCACTCATGATTTACAGCTCAACATTCATCTGAATGCAGGGAGGATCTAAGCTGTGTAACAGAATTATGCAACTGTAGTTTCCTGCCTCTGTAACTTGCTCCCATATATTAGAGGCTGGATAAAATGCTAGGAAATGACATCTTGTACTTATCCTGATGGTATTTGTCTGGCACATTCCCCAATAAACTTCTTTCACTTGTCACTACATACAGATCAGCTCCACGTAACCCTTTCCCACTGCGGCAGCAGCAGCTTCAGGAGATCTCGCATAACCTTTTCAGAAGCAACATGGGCTTATGTAACTTCTCCCCTACACCCTTTCCTCCTCAGTTTTGCCAGTGAGCAGAGCTCGGTTTAAAGTATAAAAATTGCTTTTAACCATTTCTCAGCTTACCTGCACAGCCCACAGTTTTATCAGCATGACTGGAGAGACAGCACAGGACTAAGTAGCTGGTAGGCAAGAACACCCTGAAACGGCACTGCCCCAGAAAGAGAGACATGGAAACATACATTTAGTAGTATGCGATCCTGGCTTTAAACAGAGGAAAAAGAGTACAATTGGGAAATGATGCCAGCTTAATACTAGAAACCCCCCAGTGAGTTTGGAATCTAGTCTGATGAACGGAACTTCTTCCATATGCATCCAGATTGGAAACATAGATTTCCAAGGCATCTTGAAGAATAATTGGTTTTGCACTGCTAGCGTGACTTCCCTTCCAAGTTTACCTTCTACTTAACTTTTTCTTATTAAAGAATGGAATGTAGTTCTATGTCTACATGATTTCTTTGGTAAAGGGGACCCACAGCCTATAAAACAAGAAGCATTTCTAAAGCAATGGTCCTTATATCATTTAACTATAAATTCCAGCACCAGTTACTTGAAATCTAGATCCTGCTACTGTTATAGGTATGGGAAATATATCCTGCCTAAGAATGAAACTGGGGAATAGCTTTCAAAGCAACCAACATTGCTGAATGCCCAGTCTTTCAAAACATCAAAGAAAAAACAACACCTTAAAAAACCCTTAATATTGTTTAGTTTCACTGCCCTCATCAGAAGTATAGAACATGTAACGCTGTTCACAGCAAATGCTCATTCCACTAAAAGTTTAAGGCTATGCCTAGGTTTAATTTATAAGGGGTTTCTCCCCTGATTTCCTTCCTTCCTTTTTTTTTTTTTTCTCCCCTCCTCCTCTTTTTTCCTCTCTCCCCTTTAAGGCTATTCTACTACTAAACAAAACTCTGAAATAACACTTTGATTTGCAGGCTCATACATATCAAACAGTACTCAATACTTTTGCCACTTTAGCTCTTTTCCCGTGAGTCACTGGAGGCAACCGTAATTTTAACGTTTGAGTGAAGGACTTCCTTTTTCCATTTCTCGGTTATCTTTCTGCAGAGCAGCCAGAATCTAGACATTTCAAGGAAGAAAAAAGTGTTAGATTTTAAAAGTGACTCAATAAATCACTGTCTGAAGAGTTTTCAATTTAATTATCTCCAAGCAATACTATTTCAACTATTAAATGTAATCAGATTTAGAGAACCTCTGCACTGACAGAGACCTCTCCCGTAAGTCCTTGTGGCATGGTAGATACAAATGGATTTAACAGAAGTTTAAACTCAATCTCTCCCCAGTGCACACTTTTGAAGCCTGGAGATGAGATTCTTACCCAGATTACACGAGTGTAGCACTATTAAAGGATGCTGCCTGAGGGGACGTTATACTTCTCAAGATAAATGGAATGTCTGAAAGCACAAGTGAGCAGCCTGAGCAATATGATATTATCTAAGAGTTCAGGACAGAATTATCTTAGTGCTGACTGGTGCTTGCCTAGAGCACATCACTGTCTCCAGATCTGCTTACATCTTCTTCCGAAGCAAGAAGTCTGCGTTTGCATCCACACTGAAAACTTGTATTTCCTAGTATCTGATGCACAATTTTGTTTTGTTAGCCCTCGTGTAAAGGGCACAGCAACAGCCAGTTTCTCATGCTGCTTAACACACTCCCTGCCCTATAGTTAGTCTCTGCTGAAGAAGTCCAGCAACATCCTCAAGGATCACCCTGGAACAGAAGGTACTGAGGGACATTTCATCTCAAACAATTGCAGTTATGAGTAAGGAACCTTCTTTTCTCCCTCTGACTGACTTCAAACGTCCACACCATCAGAATTAACAGGAGGTGGGGCTAAATCCCTCACAGGGCAATCACACCCCATCACCTGTACTTCAGTGCAAAAGCACCCACAGCTGTTGCAATGAGAGTTCAACACGGATCTGAACTGAGCCACAGCTGGCTGGCTGTTCAGTGATTTCTAGAATCA